ATGATGTCTGAATCAAAGTTGTAGCCAGATGGATTAGCTTTCCAACTCATTTTGAATCGCCTCAATCGGATATCGGAATACAAAGTTATGATAAAAACATTGAAGGAAGGTGCAGCTACCTGTTTAAAATAAGAAATTCCGTTACATAGGCTGTTAAAACAACAAATTTCGTTAGTTTTTCCGTTAAAAACAAGAAATTCCGTTACATAGCCACTTTTAATATATAGAAGATAATTTTTGTATGTCGTGCAATTAACGAAACTAAATTTTTGGAGTTAAATTCATCTATTATCAACTATTCAAGATTCCAAGCATTAACTAATAGACTCTTTAAGAATTGAAAGTTGGACCGATCCAGTTGGTTCAATCTAAAATTCAAAAATCAATTTTGTTTCCAACCCTTTAACCATTGTTGATTTCCTTTCTTTCGAAGGTTGATGGAGGGACGGTTTCCAAAGCATTGATTGAAGAAAACCCCAAGTACACATTTTTCGAGATAATAATAAAATGTATAGAAAGTATAGATTTGATTAAACCGAATCGACAGTAGACACCTACCTAACCGACCCAAATGTCAAACTGAACCAACTTGGAGCGATGTTGGTTTCATTTTCGAGTTGAATTGTACCACCCCAAAAACCTTGATTTGGGGGGTTGAGTTTTAAAAAATTTATTTTCAATGGAAAAATCTCATTCGACTTGACAAATCGACTCGAGTCATTTTGAGTCGGTTTACTTTGTGCATATTCTGGAGGTAAGATACCAATTCCCTCCAACTTGTACTTATTCGAGTAATCAATAAAATGGGGTTAGAGAATTCAAATTGACTCTCCTGCCTGTTGGATCGAGTGAAAGGTATAATAATTCGGTTAGATTTTGATGATGTTTCCACAAAATGTTCGAAAAATGGTTAGAATGCATTCTTGTAGATAAAATACACCTTTTTCAAAGATTGGGAACACGGTTGACCAGGAAAAAAATATTGAGAACGAAAGTGCAACTAATTGAAAAATTAGGAACGTGTAAAAGGCAAGAAAATAAAAAAATAAAGATAAAACGTGACCTCTCTAACATAGTATACACGTGTACAAGGAATCTGTTAACGTGTGGCAAAGAAATCAGGACAACGAATGTCCACCTACACAAGTCTGTCCTATCATCTTATATTGTCCTTTTTGCTTGCTATCCCTCATCCATTCCTGAAACCACCGCTAACCAAAAAGAAACTCTTGTCTGGTGCTCAACCTGTTTGAAGCACAAAAAAATGGCAGCTTATCGAGAAACAGCTGATGTTAGAGCATATGAAACGGTGGGGCAGGCGTCGGCGTCGGTGCCGGCGTATCTGGAAATCCCGGCGGCGTCGATGGAGGATCCGGTGGAGGCTGTGGCAGCTTCTGTTGACACGACTAAGTCTCAAATTCATCCAACTTTTACTACTTCCAAACAACTCAAGGTAATTTGTAAATTAAGAATGTTTATGTTGAACTAAAGATCATAAACAAGTGATATTCGTGGAAGAAATAATCAATAATGAAGAATCCATCCGAGTAATGTAATGTCATGTATATGCTTATTAACCTATATGAACTTTAGAGCGATCAACATTATGGCTAATGGCTTAAGTCGTAGCTTTCAAGTTCAAGCTTACGTGTGAATACCTATGAAAGTTAAAGACGCATTTACATACAATATATATTATATATATATATATATAAAGTTTCAAGATTATAATTCTGTAAAAATGGAGTCGGATTATCCTCAAGCTCATATTACTGAGTGGAAGAAACATTCTTATTCGAAGGAGGAAGAGAAAAAGGAAGAGGAAGCCAAGAAAGAGAATGGAGTGCAGAAGCTAAAATCAAGCCTCCTCGTTACAGGAGTGGTGGTTGCTGTGATTGGAGCTATATTTGCTGTAGTTAAGAATATTAAAAAGGCAAAATAATAATATGTTCCACTGCTGGCCTGTAATAATTTGAACTTCTTTCATTATTTATGTTTTCGAATGTAAATGTAATAATATTTGAACTCTCAGTGTGTGTGATGGAGTCCCAAACAGTAAAAATAAGGAAGCAGGTGAACAAATTGGAGGATTCAGGCTTTTACAATTAATAATAAATAATTCTTCCCTTTGATCCCTTTACTTTCTATTTGCACCTTTATTTCAAAAAGTAATATATGATTACTTAAAGGCTGAGGATTGTAAGGTTTGGGCAGATTGTCTTTGAATCAAAATATTACTATATCAAAATTTTAAAGGATTGGAGTCCAAAACTGACAATGGTACATTACAAAACTTAGATAATTAAACTACAAATCAAGAATGTTTGTGTGGGATTTTTATGAAATTCAATTGGTCTTGAATCTTAGAAAGAAGACTACTTCAGAGGTTAGAATTATTTTATAATTAAATCTGTACGTGTCAAAATATTTTGAGAGATACGTCCAAATTTCGGAAATTCAAAAATAACATTTTACAGATTTCGGTTCTACCCAACCAAACGGACACATTTACAAAATTCCCGTTTAGAATCCATTCACTTCAATTCGTTTCTTGAAAAACTCGAACTGAATCACGCGTGGTTGGTTATTCACATTCTTTAAGCAATCAAACCACACAAATTCAATCCCAGCGATTTTGGACATCTAAGAAGTTTTTGCATGTTCTAAGGATGGTTATTACTTGCACGCAGATATGTTCTTCAGATACTTTAATTTTCTGGGTTTTTTCAAGTTAAGAATATCAATGAGCAATTTCTTCTTGTGGCTTCTTCTAGGCGAAGAAAAACTTTCCTAACTTTGAAGAACAAGAATCGAAAAGGGAAACACATAATGATGGTAACTAGTATTAAATTTTTTCACCAATTGGTTAACTGCCAATCTCTCTACGATTGAGATACTGCAGAACAACAGGCAACCATACTCGTCATACTAAGAACATTCTTCCGACCATATCCGACATTTTCTTTTTACAAAATTCAAGTGCGGTTTACTCTTTAGACTAGAACATAGAACCGAAATAAACAAGCAAAGTATGATTCTCCTACTCCGGTGATGATGGTGGTAGGAATATTCTGTTCAGTCAGCATTGTCCTCCAATTTATTGCTTTCATTTAAATCTTCTTTGTTTTGATTTCCACTTCCTGTAGATGAATCTTTCTTTTTACCCTTTTTGTTGGTTTCCTTCGCCTTCGAGGATAGAGATCTCTTCCCAGAATTCTTTTGCCTAAACTCTGTTTAAAAATAATGATATTTATGATAAAGAAAACAAGCATTCGTGAGTCAACAGCTTTTACAGCACTCTCAAAATGAATTACCGTGTGTAATATATGTAAAAAGAACATTTTTGGTAGAAAATATCTATATGCAGTAGATGCAATAGCCTGAGGCCAACTGCCAATCCTTCTCTGAAACAAGAATTTCAGAATTTTCCATCCTATAAAAACCTACAAAAGCCAAATGCACACAGCACCGGTAAAAGAGGAGTTATTCTTGTAGAACCAGCTCTTCTAAAAGCTTTAGATATTAGAGAGGGACACATTTGTATATTTAAATATAGTCTTGAATATGCCTCCTCATATGCGGTAGAAAATTTGTTGTAGAAATCACTTGTGGTGGGTATTAGCCCTTTCTGTGATATAATTCAACAATGGTACTTAAACAAGGGCAGTGCTATGTGTACACAAAGTTTTACACTTCACTCACATGGAGAGGGCCCGCATACAATAAAATATTTGTAGGCCTCCTTCTATGTGAGGAGTGTGTAAAACTTTGTGTACACCACAAGGTGTACACATAGCACTTTCCCTTAAACAATGGAGAGCTAGAAAATTATGTTTTGTGGGCTAGAATTTTTTTTTTTTTGGCTGGGCTAATACATTAAAAACTAATATAAAATTTTATATTCAGATATAGGTTAGTCTTGCTGCCCTGCTCCCCCCTGGATCCACCCTTGCTAAAAAAGAAAGAGAGGGTTCTAAAGACTTTTGCAAGTCACAACACTTCAAAGAGGGAAGAGGCTGAAAAATCACTTCTGAATCACAAATCCAGTCTTTGCCATGCATGGTAAACAATTCGCTTCAAAGGCTACACGTGTCATTGCTGTTATAGCAAGCATCGTGACGAGAAGCAGTTAAAACTGATTCTTTTCCTTCGTTTTGGGTCACTCATCACTGTCCCGCTATAAGGATGGAGAAAGCTGATCCGACTTCTCATCAACTTGATTATCAGACTGGCGACCTCTACCTACCAGTTTTCAACTCGTCTCTACTGGAGAAATTGGAAATGAGAATCTCAAGTTGGAAAAGAAAATTGTTGTCCTCCTGAAGTCAACTAAGGCTTACTAGACATGCTGTAGTCTTCTTATGCACATTCTCTAGTTTTCTTTCCTTAGCTAGCCTAGACTTCAGTTACTAGTAAGAAGATAAGACCTTGCAGCCTGGATTGTGTTTTTCCCTCTAAAACCCCCATTTAATAAACTTGAGCAGTTGAAATCAGATAAAAATACCACAGATACTATAACTCTGCATGACACTAGTCCACAAAAAGTTTAACTGAGTGAAATGAAAAGCTGAAAAGATTAGTAAATTAGATGGTGACCTTCAAGAGAAGCTTTTAGAGGTCCAATGTAATCCGAGAACTCTATCTGTTGTTTAGGACACTGTGTTCGGTTTAGGTTTTGTTTTCTCGCCAATCTGACAGAGGTATCAATTTTGGGAACTTGGTGTTGGATTACAAATTTTAAAGAGATCATATTTGATCCTCGTGTTTTAATTTTTATGTTCAATTCAATCACATATTTTCTCAATAAAATAATTTTATAGATAAATTCAAAACTTTTTCTTAATTTTAATCTCATATTCTCTAAAAAATTACAATTACGAAATCTATTCCCCAAAAAGGACTCAAAACAAACTTTAAATTTTGTAAATTTGAAATTTTGAATAGGTTTTTAAATCTCATTAAAAAATAGTGAAATTTCAAAAGAGTTTTTTTGCGTGTATTTTTAAGTTTAAAATTCATCCAAATCTCTTTAAATTCCTTTAATATTGAAATCATTACAAATTCATTTGTTAGTTATGACATTTAGGACTCGTTCGATTCTCAAATAGTCACATTTACAAATCATGATCACAATAATACATAATGTATACTCACGATCATACACTAATCACCAATCACGCAATGTCGCGATCACAAAGACAATTTCTAGAGCACAATTACAAATTTAGACACAAATAACACATGTTATAATACAAAAAAAAATGACGATTGCAAAAAAAAAGAGAGACATTTAGCAACGTAAAACAATTTTGTAAAAAAACATGTTCAATTTATAAATTGATTTAAGACAACATTAATAAAATGTTGCAAAAGAGGAACGACAACATTTAAAAAACGTTGCAATAGAGGAAATGAGACATTGAAAAAATGTTGCGGAAGGATAACGACAACACTTTTAAAACGTTGAAGAAGAGTAACGACGATAATTAAAAAACGTTGAAAAAAGTCCAGAATGAAAGCATTTGCAACTTTTAAGAAACATTGCAAATGACTTTCCGCAACGTTT